TACCTAGAATACTCCTCCTCCCACCCACCTTCCTGCAAAAATGCTATTCCCTATTCCCAATTCCTTCGCCTCCGCCGCATCTGCTCCCAGGATGAGGCATTCCACTCCTGTACATCTCAGTTGTCCTCGTTTTTCAAGGACCGTAACTTCCCCCCCTCAGTGGTCGAGAACGCCCTCAACCGTGTCTCCCACATCTCCCGCAACTCATCCCTCACACCCCGTCCATGCAATAAGAACCAAAAAAGAATCCCCCTCGTCCTCATGTACCACCCCACCAACCTCCGGATCCAACGCATCATCCTCCGACACTTCCGCCATCTGCAATCCGACCCCACCACCAAAGACATCTTTCCCTCCCCACCCTTAACTGCTTTCTGGAGGGACCGCTCTCTCCGTGACTCCCTTGTCCACTCCACACTCCCCTCCAGCCCCACCACACCGGGCACTTTTCCCTGCAACCGCAGGAAGTACTACACCTGCCCCCATACCTCCTCCCTCACCCCTATCCCAGGCCCCAAGAAGACTTTCCACATCAAGCAGATGTTCACCTGCACATCTGCCAATGTGGTATACTGCATCCGCTGTACCCGGTGTGGCTCCCTCTACATCGGGGAAACCAAGCGGAGGCTTAGGGACCGCTTTGCAGAACACCTACGCTCGGTTCGCAATAAACAACTGCACCTCCCAGTCGCGAACCATTTCAACTCCCCCTCCCATTCCTCAGACGACATGTCCATCCTGGGCCTTCTGCAGTGCCACAACGATGCCACCCGAAGGTTGCAGGAACAGCAACTCATATTCCGCTTGGGAACCCTGCAGCCCAATGGTATCAATGTGGATTTCACAAGCTTCAAAATCTCCCCTCCCCCTACCGCATCCCAAAACCAGTCCAGCTTGTCCCTGCCTCCCTAACCTGTTCTTCCTCCCACCTATCCCCTCCTCCCACCTCTAGCCGCACCCCCATCTCCTACCTACTAACCTCATCCCGCCCCCTTGACCTGTCCGTCCTCCCTGGACTGACCTATCCCCTCCCTAACTCCCTACCTACACTCACCTTTACTGGCCCCATCCCCGCCTCTTCGACCTGTTTGTTTCCTCTCCACCTATCCTCTCCTCTATCCATCTTCTATCCGCCTCCCACTCTCTCCCTATTTATTTCAGAACCCCCTTCCCCTCCCCCTTTTCTGATGAAGGGTCTAGGCCTGAAACGTCAGCCTTTCTGCTCCTATGATGCTGCTTGGCCCGCTGTGTTCATCCAGCCATGCACCTTGTTGTCTCAGGGTCTGAAATGCACTGCCTGAAAATGTGGTGGAGGCAGGTTAAAGTGAGGCATTCAACAAGGCTTTGGATGATTATTTGGATAGAAATAGTGTGCACTAATACGTTAATGGAACTGATTCAGGAATGATAGCCTTGTTGTGCAATTCAGGAATTCAGTGCCGGACCATAAGTTTTCTATTTGCCATTTGGCTCCCATGGTGCCCAGTCACTGAACATTTTCATGAGGCTGCCAATATTATTTTCAGAAAACAAGGTTATCACACCTAAGAAAGAAAATAACAAATATGTCTCTCTCTCTTGTCTGTCTGTCTCTTCTCTCTCTCTCTCTCTCTCTCTGTCTTTCTCTCTCTCTCCACCCCCACCCCCCGCCCCTTTCCCTAGGAAAGGTTATAACAATAGCAAAAAAAGATTGGGCCCTTTTCCCAGCAATGTCCTTTCCAGGTTCTCATTTCAAATGAAATATATGTAGTATTGCCCCTCTCTTAATTTTGCAATTCTTTGATCAAATTACTGTTTCCAGCCTTCCTTCTTCGAATGTGAAGCAGCTTAAGATCTCTTTTCAGCTCTAATAGCTTGAAAAGAGTTATGTTCAGTTCTGACCACCTGGTGATTTCTACCACTGTCACAGCCTGGAGACTTCAAGAAATTAAACGTCACAGTGTCAAGCCTTTTACAAAGTTTAAAAAAAAAACTGCCCTTCTGCTCAGGTGACTTCTCTTCTTCGAAATTTAACATACCAATGGCCTCAACCATCCCTTTTTTTAAAATCATAAAACTCAACTCATGTTCACTGCTGAAAATAATTTTCTGACCATTATTTAAAAATACTATTTTTTTGTCACTTCTGAATCCAAGTTCCCAAATAATGACACTACACATGCATCACAATAGGTTTTGTTGCATTTATTAAAACAAGCATTTGTTTGTTAAATATTTCCCCTGTGTCTTGAAAGAAGATTTGTTTCACCCTGATAGCTTTCAGGTTTGAGTGATTTCTGGTTTGTTAATGCAAAGCAATGCCTTTAATTGTGTGCACCATTTTTACCTAACAGGACATGAACTACGTGCTGATAATGGTGGATCCAGATGCCCCTAGCAAGGAAAATCCCAAATACCGTTTTTGGAGACATTGGTTGGTGACCAACATAAATGTAAGTGGTGTCTGATTGTCATTGTGCAGCCTAATTAACTTACACACAATGCAACACATCTTATTTGAAAAAAAATGATGTTGGGATCTGATGTTGTTCTTCTGTTTTGGTTAAACTGCTTGTGGCATTTTAATATTAGTGGAATACTGTCCTTCTATCCACCAGTCACAAATTCTTGTCATTATATCTCTGTTATGAATGATTCATTTTGCTTCTGTAAAAAATATTAAGATCTCCTTAAGTGGACAGGATCTTGTAGGTCCCTGTGAACGATGATGAGATTTATTGCGGAATTGCGCAAAAAGTCAGTGAGGCCTATCTGGACATCAGGACCAACTTGTTGCATTTACTACACATTTGCTGAATAATGGGATAGTAAGAGCTGCCGATGTTGGAGTCAGAGATAACGCACTGTGGAGCTGGAGGAACACAGCAGGCCAGGCAGCGTCAGACAAGCAGGAGAGCTGAAGTTTCGGGTCGGGACTGATCTGAAACGTCAGCTTTTCTGCTCGTCTGATGCTGCCTGGCCTGCTGTTTTGCTGAATAATGGGGTTAGTTTCTCGTTGGGTAACTGCAAGTTAAATTGAAGGGGATTACAGCTTGTTAAATAACTTGTTAACATGACAGCTCGCCTCATTGATATTCAGCTTCCCACCTGACTGACTGTGCCAAACAAGAGAGACGTTGAGAATTCTTGCCAGGTGACAAAACCCTTGCAGCAGTTGCTTCAAGAACCAGTAGACAGAGGCAGCAGGCGTGAATTTTAGAACAAAAGTGAATATTGATAAAAGGAACATGATGCATCTCTAAAAATCACCAAGAAATATTCATATATTCATAAAAATTGAAATATTTAGGAATGATAATATCTCCAAGTGAAAGATGTGACAAAATAATAAGAACCAGGGTAACAAAAGAGATGACCATATTGTGTAAAAAGAAATGGTTGTTGACCAGAGGTCTGAACAAAATCTTCATAAACAAACACACCTTGTATAGAGCACAATTTGAAGTGTTGTTTTGTGTGCATGCCACACTTGGATCATCCAGAAAGACAAGACCAACTTGCTAAATAGCTTTGAATGGTGGATTTAGAGGAGAATGGACAGAACAAGTTCCAAATGATGAAGAGCTGAGGAGATTGAATGAAGTCTGAAAATTGTACACAATTAAGAAAAGGCGGAGAGACTGAGAACTCTAAGAGGAAATGGCATTGCAAGAAACACAGTAGATTAAATATTTCAAAGAAAATAAAGGCAACATCATAATAAAAGCCAAAAGAACTGTGGATGCTGTAAATCAGAAACAAAAACAGAAGTTGCTGGAAAAGCTCAGCAGGTCTGGCAGCATCTGTGAAGAGTAATCGGAGTTAACATTTCGGGTCTGGTGAGTCTTCCTCAGAACATCAATATTGGATGTCTTGAAAATTTAAGGAAGTTGTGGTTCACTTAAAAGAAAGGCACGGGATGAAGAGATATGAAAACACAACTACCAGCCAAGGACCTCCTTCGGCCTGAACACAAGACACTTGATGATGGTGATGTCTGGGTTTTAGGGTTTGCATTTTGTGAAACATCCCTCCTTGGCTTCCACAAGAATTTATAATTTAAGCTGTAGTCCCATAGCTGCATCACATCTTAAGCACTTTTACTCATTTGTTTCATGACATTACATGGCATCATTGGAATTATTTAGATATGGATATTGCTGATGTTATTTTGACTTGATTATTACTTGTAATTAGGATGGGCTGAAGTCATTGTTATAAGGTACTGTGATGGAGGGCTGATGTAACCAGTACATCTTGTCCAAGAGTAATGACTGGATTCTGCAGGAATGGAGAGAACCAGAAAATATTGTTGTCAAAAATAGTGGTTACACTAAATCATTGACCTGAAATTCAGTTACATGCTTGTTCATTTTTCTTGAACTTTAACTCCCTCGTACACATTTGCCAAATGGACAGCCATTCTGTCTGTTCATCTGCGGAAGATGAGCAAGTCAGTGAAATGTAACCCTTCTTATTTCTGCTGCTGAGCTGCTCTCATTGAAAGAAGCTTTGAAAATCTGAACCTGATGTGTCAAGCCAGCAGTGGTAGCAGCAACAGAATGGAGTTGCCATTTGTAGGAGTGTAGTTGCTGCCATTGCAGCAAGAGCTGTCTTTTGGCAGAGATATCAATTTTCATATAGTGGGTACAGCAGTATGGTTTCCACTTGAGCAGATCCAAACACGTCCGTCGCTTAATGGAAAGCTATGGATTGTTTGTGGATTAGCCCACACTCTGTGATGCTGCTAAGTTCCAATTCAATGCTTGCAACAAAGTTTGGGCCTGTACACTGACACAAATATTTCATTCCGTTTTCACATTGAAGGCTAATTGTCCTATTAAGTTCCCTAATTGGTTGCTTGCTGCAATTCAGAATAGTGCACCAAGGCAGGAACATGTTGAGAGTGTGAATCACAGAATTGTTACAGGGTGAAAGGAGGTCATTTGGCCTCTCACGTCTGCACTGGCTCTCTGAATGAGCAATTTTAAATAACAGGTTAATTCCCTTCTGAATGCTTCGAATTTGCATCCACAGCACACTCAGAGAGTGCATTCCAGACTTTCTCGACTTGTGTGACAAGCTTGCTCTCAATTCTTTTATAAGTGGAAACAGTTTTTCTGTGTCTCCTGTGTCTATATTCCTAATAATTTTGAATACAGTACCTCTGTGAGATCTCCTCAGCCTTCTTTTCTTCAAGGAGGACACTGCTAGCCTCATAACTTAACCTGGAACTGTTCTTTTTAATTATTTATCCACCTTCTCCAATGTCTTTACGTCCTTTCCAAAGTGAGTCTCCTGGTACTGGATGCAGTGCTCCAGCTGAACTCCTGCCTTACACAGTTTCAATATAACCTGGCTGCTCTTGTACTCTAAATCCCTATTAATAAATCCTACTACACTACATGCTTTATTCATCATTTTCAACCTGCCCAGTCTGTTCCTGCATCCTCTTTAGAATTGTAATCTTTAGATTGTCAATCCATGTTTTTCTTATCAAAATGAATCATTTCATATTTCTCTGTATTGAATGTAAACTCAAGAAGGATGTACCCAATAACTGGGGAGGCAAGAACCAGGGATCACAATCTAAAGATATGGAGTAGGCCATTTAAGACTGAGATGAGGGGAAATGTCTTCCCTCAGAAAATCGTGAACTTGTGAAATTCTTTGCCACAAATAGCGGCTGAGGCCAGAACATTTAATGTTTTCAAGGAGGAGTTAGATACAGTTTTTTGGCAAAAGAGATCAGGGTGTCTAGAGAGAAAGCGGCAACAGATACTGTTTTGGATGATCAGCCTTGATTATATTGGATGGTGGTCTTGGCTTGAAGGCCCGACTGGCTGACTCCTTCTTTCCACGATTCTATATTTAATCTCCTCATCTCTTAACTACACCAACTTGTCTGTGTCCTTTTAAAGATCTATACTATCCTCTTCTCAATTCACAGTTCTTCCAGGTTTTATATCATCTGCAGAGTTTGAATTTGTGTTCTGCACACCAGGGTCTGGGAAATTAATATACATCAGGAAAACAAGGAACCCAACACCAACCCCTGAGGAACTCCATAACGAGCCTTTTATCGAATCAATTGAGATTTCCTCCCATCAGACGCCTTCGGTCACGAGCTCCAAAACGTGTCTGTGCAAAACCATTGTACAACTACGACATTTTATTAGAATGTGTTTTTCATAATATTCCCGGAAAAACTCCGTAAAGGTAGATGAAGGGAAAAATGTATTTCTATTTTTAAAATGAATTAATTCACTGCAGTTCACTAATGTATTCACAAAAAGGAACCCATAGTGAACATATGGCCATTTCTATTCCTGTGAGCATTTGCTCTCAAAGTTACAATAATATGATAGTCATTTCATAGAAATATCCTGTGCATATTGTGTTTACAACACTGTCTATGTCTGTTACCACACCTTAAACTTTGAAGTGACTCACAAAATTAACATATAATGAGTTAAAATTCTAGAACCAAAAAGTAGCAGACATTTTTGTATGCATTTCTAGAGCTTCTTATTGCACTGAGGACTATTATATTTCTTAACCGTGCATAGGTGCTGTCTATCTGTTGCCTTGATCTTACCAGCAGGAGTTTGATTTTAGGACTAAATGTGGATCTTGAGCTGCAGCTGGACAATGGTGGCTATTTTCCTGGTGTTGGCCTCGTAACTAATTGTTGTCAGGCCCAGCTTCCAATTAAGGATGGCAGCCTGTCTCTGAAAACTGCCAGCCCTATCAGAAAACTATCAACATAGTAGCACCAAGAGAGGTAGTATCTGCTTTGGCTCCAAGGAGATTGGGATTGGTCCTCTTTGTTGTGGCCTTGTGAAGGCAGGCAAATTAGACAGACAGGATGGTCCACAGATCCAACTACCTCCCCCTGTGAAAGGGTGGGAACTGCTTCATTGCTGGCAAAATGTCAATAACCTGGGATAATGGGCCACAATTGGGTTCTGAATCATTTAGCTTGGCTGCCCATTTCCAGTTGGAATGCAGCTAAGCCACTGTTGTACTTGCTGTTGGTTAAATGGTCCAACATTTGAGTGCCCTCCCAACATGGTTCTTTGGTATTTTGGTATTCTTTGGCCTCACTCCCAGACAGGCATTTCTCCAAGCCTGCCACCTAGGAGCCAGTAAAAGCTTGCCTTTATGTACGGGTAAACTGATGTGAAGGAAGCTATTCCCTTATGTTAAAAATATCAAAGAAAACAGCATTCTTTATGAAAAGTAAGTAAGAGTACACTGAATTCTTGAGAGGCCAGAAGTTAACATTCAATTCTGTCTGGGGATAGGGGGACAGCATCTGATAAGAGTTTCAGTTGATCATTCAGGAAGTTTTGGGTCAATAAAAAGCAGTTCTAGATAGTTGGAGAAAAAGAGGCACTGACTGGGAAAGAGTTCAGGTTCGGATAGCTGATTTTTAACTGTCCTGCAAAAAAGGAAGTCAAGAACACTTTGGTGGGACTGTGCTGTAAGAACAAATTCAGGAATAAATTCGAGGGATTAGCTATGATTGGGAGTCAGGAGTCAGAAGCAGTCTTGGAGAACCGCACAAATGGAAAGGTCACTGACTCTGTGTCGGGGGAGCCATAAGGTGCTCAGGAGGAAACTATGAGGATTATGCACCAGTGTAACTGAGACTGGGATTTGAAACACCCATAAATAATATTTGATTAATACAACCGAGCAAGATTAAGTCTGAGGGAAAACCCAGGGACACCTTGGTTTGGTGAAGCTCGCTGTCAGTGAAGAGCTGCACTTATGCTTGTTAATGAGTACTGGAAAGCGGTTTCAGAGTAGAGGAATATTAATCCAGGAGAAGAGTGTGATTGACTGGAACACAAGCAGCTGTTGAGGTCGTCCACAACAGCATGCCTCTTGAGAGGGGGCTTCGAAGTGAGAGCAGCAAAATGAAGAATTTTAATCCCTGGTGAAGTTTAATAAGATTGAAAGACCATTTCAGTCATTCAGTGGAAGATAACTGTATTTATACAGAGTACATAACCACACTTTTAGTGAAAGCTTTAATTCAGGTAAACAGACTGTATTAAACTCACCCCTACTGATTATTAGCTCTCCATATTTAGACAGCTGATTCTCACTCAATTAACCCTTGATTAATCTATCCAATATTGTACACTGTTCCATTAAGTCTTCGGCATTCCTTCAGATCATATTAGATGATAACACCACTGTGTAATGAACATTTGGCATGAGTTGGTGGGAAATCTGTGCGATCACTCTTGATCACATTTGCTATTTGATGTTCACTATGGGGTGCTCAATCACCGGTTATTATCCATATTTGCCACATGTTAGCGCTGGGTGACAGAATTAAATTTTTTGTGTGTATGTGTGGTATTTTGTAATACTATTCTAACTTGTATTATCAAGTATTGTTGTTTGTTCAAAATGTGAAATATTGTTTTATTATCTTCTTAAATTTGGTGTTTATTAAATCTTTTGTTTATTTTAGAATTAATGTTATTGGCCCCTAACCAGATCATAGCATAATTTGGTGATTTCCTGTCCGAGACATAAAATAAAATTGGCAGTCTGGTTTGGGTTCATAACAAATTGTGAAATCATGGTATTGTGTCATGAACGTCTTAACATTGCTAGTGATACATCCTCACCAGGCACCATATGCTGCTTCATTTGTTGGGGGGGTCGGGGGGGAACTAATTTTTTTTCACCATCTTGCTTCCAACAGGCTATTCTTACTGTAGGTACTTTACCCACATTGCCCACTTTTGTTTATGCTTTTTCTTTGTTCCCTGAACCTCCCCCCACACACATATTTAAGTTGCTTCAACTCTGATTTCCCTTCTCACCTTCCAGACAATGTTGGCTCAGAGCAACAATATTCTTGGTGCTGCAAGCAACTTGTCTGCAGCCTTAAATTCCCTGTTCTACACTCCAAAGCGGTACTCAGTAGTGTCTGGTCGAAATTTGGAAAACTGTAGCTGGCAAAATTGTCTTTGCATGATTTAGGTATGAGAAGCAACACCATATGAGAATCTGCAGTCGGTATTAAAACCCTTCAAATATGCTAATATCTCCTCCTCTATCAAAGTAGACAGGTCTTGATTCTGTGGCAAATCCGGAAGAATAATTTTCTTGCGATTCCTGCAGTTGAGCTGATAAGAAATCGTGAACTAGCATACATACCTTTTACTCTTTCATTGAGTTACATGCATAAATATTTTAAAGAAAAATAATCCTTAATATTTTTCCATGTATTGGACATGTGCCTCTTTACAAAAAGTTGACAGTTGATTTCTATGTTTTAATCAAAGGTATCTGTTTTTCTCAGAAAAATGTGTGAAGCGTGTAATTCTGTGCCAGCTGTGGATATTAAGAGAAAAACTTGCCTCAACAAGGTGCACCTTCATACTTGTCTTTTGTTGGGTTTGTTGGGGCAGATGGATGGAGAAAACTAATTGCAGCACCCTGTTCAGCCAGCTAGTTAAACCTTAGAGACTCTCAAAAGAATTTCTGGCCAGCACTCGTCAATTGTTCTGACTCATTTTACACAAGTGCAGTAAACCTGAATTTTGTATTTATTTACTGTTACATTAAACTACAGTGGAGGCTGACATGATGTAAGAGTGTATAATTTTGTTATAATTTTTTATCTGAGCAGGTAACTGAAGTTCTTACAGTACCAGTCTTCATTGTTTTAAAATGTACTGCAGAAAATATTTCAGCACTGACAAGCAATTTTTAGTTATTCAACTATTGTTTATCCAGGAAGGTTTAAAAAGAATTCTGATTTATTTCTGAGCAGAAACTAGATTCTCCTGCAGGCAGTTTGACTCCAGTACAAATGCAGTCAGCAGACTGTAAACATGGAGTCCCATTTCAAACAACCTTCTGTATCTAAGCAACAGAGATCACACTACTAATATAACATCAAAAGTGCTCTGGCATGCCGTCTATCTTCCTTTGAGAATCAGAATCCCTTTCTTTGGGAGTCTTGCACAATATATTTCTGTATAAATAAACCTTGAGGTGGGTCCCGCTGATATTGGTGGGAATTAGGATTTTTTTTTACTCATTCACGGGATGAGGACGTCGCTGGCTAGGCTAGCATTAATTGTCAATCACATTGCTGTGGGTCTGGAGTCACATTAGGGCAAGACCAGAAGAGGATGGCAATTTCCTTCCCTAAAGGACATTAGTGAACCGGATGGGTTTTTTCCGACAATCAACAATGGACTCATGGTCATCATTAGACTCTGAATTCTAGATATACATTGAATTCAAATTCCTCCATCTGCCATGTCAGAATTTGAACCTGGTCCCCAGAACATTACCTGGGTCTCTGATTAACAGCCCAGCGATAATGCCACTTGGCCTTTGCCTCCCCTTTGTGACCATTATTTCCCAGTCACTGATGTTCTTTTGTCTGAGTCATTCAGAGAACCAACAAAGGAAGCCAAGCATTCAATCACAAGGCAAGATGTGAGGATTCCCTGAAGTTGTTTATAGCAAGCTCATGCTGCTTGTTCAATTAGTATTGACAGAAGCTTGAGAGAAAGTGAACTGCCAATGCTCAAGCCCAAAACCACTAGTTAGTACACAAATTGAGGAGGATTAACTGAAATGGAGGAGTAGAACAACAATTTTAAAATGGAACAAAATCAATCTTTGAAGCAAAGATGGTGCAGGGCTGGATGAACACAGCAGGCCAAGCAGCATCATAGGAGCAGAGAGGCTTGC